GAGGGGGTCCTCGAGATTTCGACTGCCAAGGGATCTCCACGAGATTCAATCCGGCACTAATCAAATTATACCCTACCTAGTTATCAAACAAACAATGAAGCATGTCAATTAAGTATACATGACATTTGTCTTTGTTTAAAGAAAAGATCAAAAGATTTGCTAGGCGGCTTTCTGGAAGACAAATATAATAATGTGTGAGGTTGTAATGGATGTTTCCGGATTCCGGCAGTGTACAATTTGTTTTGTTGGATTCTTTAAAGTCACGATTTAGAACTTTCTATTGTTTTTGTAGTTGTCACCTCGTTTTGTGAGACGCATACTGCATTTTTCCATCTTCCTACCAATAAATTGTTAAGGTTCGCTTAATTTGTCAGATTCGTTTGTACTGGACTATACAGTGGTATATGCTTTATATTTCCCGTTGTCATCCAAACACCCTTTTTAATCTGAAGAGCAAAACAATTTCTAGGATCAAGTTTATCTACCTGGGTAGCTGCGAAACTTACTTAAGGCCATTTAAGACGCCTCGACCTACAGTCTGCTTGATGTTCGGGAAGGCGGTAGAGGATTTTGTAATATTTAAGAGCTAAATAAATGATTGCTCAGCTAGCCTTACGTGCTGTTCTTACAATTGTAATTCCAACGATTGAAAATGTACACGTTTTCATTCCTTTCATTTTGAAAGAATAATGTTAAACACGTCTTGAAGTAATAAATGATTTATTCCGCTAGGTTTATAGAACAGATTTCCTTCTAATAATATGATTATATCTTACAGCGAAGTTAAGAACTGTTTCTCTTTTCAAATGTATCTAATATAAATGTTTCTTTTGAAAGAAGCGTTTCAATTTTGCTAGGCAATATTCTCTAGTAAATTGTACAAGAACGATTCTAATTTATTTTAACACGTCATTTACAGTTGATTGTACGTGTTATGACCACAGCACAGCACCAAATAGATACATTGATGTTGAGTTTGTTGGCATTTTAAAATAATGGTTTTGGTAAAAAAAAAAAAGATCATTTCTGACGTGGAGCTCCTCTTTCATTAAAAATAAAAGAAATAAAGAAAAGAAAACAAAAGTCTGTTGCTCCCTCTTTAAACATCAATTCATGGGCGTAAACTGCAATCACCCTACTAATTGTTTGCTGTATTATACATTGACGTAGTTAATCATGATAGACTTAGGTTTGCCTACTTATATGGTCAGTTGGTGTTCAACGTATTCCACTATTTCCCACCTGGTTCCAATCATCTGTCGGATATTTGTCCTGAAGAAAAGAGGGCAAATAATTGCTTTTCATACATTGTAATGGTCAATGGTAAGGACAGTCGATTAATAAAGTAAAAAATTCCCACCAACTCCTTGAACAGTAAGGAATTGAAAAGTAGTTTTTGGCGATGAGATATTGCATATTATCCAAACCATTTGCTAACGTGCTGAACTCGTACTTATAATGACAACAAGGGAGTTTGGAGACAATATTACACGTCTCCCAAGTGGTCTAGTGGTTAGGATTCCGCGCTCTCGCCGCGGCGGCCGGGGTTCGATTCCCCGCTTGGGAATATTTCGTTTTAGTTGACCCCACATTCAGCTAACATCTTGAGATGTTTTACAAGAGTTCACCACAGAATTTATTAATTTTTCTTAGACATTTCAAATGTTAAACAATACGGAACAAAATATTTGCAGGGATTTTTTTATTATTCTTTGATTCTCTTCTTTGTCTCCTTTGCAACTAGGCTGTAGAACAGTAAGGACTAAAACCTCCATCAACCGGGAGAGCGAATGATCCAGAAATGGAACGACATGCACAGAATATTTAATAAATGGATCGAATGACCTCTTAACTGAAACAGTACAAATTCTTGAGACAATATAAAGAACAAATTGATCACAGATGCACTGCACTGAAATACATCTTGACATATAAATCATTAATAAGAAAGGTTGTCGAGTAAGGAGTCAGTTACTACGATTTCAGCAGGGACCTTGTTGAAACATTTGTGGGGACTTTTCAATAATGATGTGCATCAGCCGGACAAAGTTAAAGTTCTCTTTCCTTTATTTATTATTTTTTATGGGTAATAGAAATGTTACATGTTCTTCTTTTTCTCATATGATTACAGACCGTATTCATTTATTAAGTCTACGATGACACATAAAATAAATTAAAAAAAATTATAATCTATATTGTTTTGGATTTACAGTGAGAGACACACAGTGAAAATGTGAGGAAATAATTTCATTTCTTTCTTTTTCTAACTAGAATAACACTGAAGTATATTCATCTTACTGGACAATGACTATCATTCAAATACTGGCTTTTTATCAATATGTACATATGTCATTTTGGCGGAGGGAGTTATTCATTTGATTTAAATAAAATGGACACATACCAGAAATGAGGAATTAAAAGATTTACGTTTGTTCTACTTTGCAACGTTGCATCTATTTTGATAAAAAAAGACATAATTTTCTTTCTTAACTAATTCCATTTCTTTTAATTGATGACACAGAAATAAAGACAAGGTTAGGACTACCTGAAACTATTCGTGATTGTTCTACAAATTACCCTCATTTCCATGACTGAATTTGGTCCGTATGTCTCAGAGATGATGGTAGCTAATGCTTCAGGATAGTACCTAAGAGCTAGTGTCCAACTGACTTCCACGATGCTAGAAATTCGTGTCAGATGACACCAGATACTGTGGATTTTGTAGCTAAATGATTTGAGAAATAAAAATTGTACATCTTTCCGAGCCATGACATTTTTATATCCAAGTATCAACAAAGTACACTCATAACATCCCAAGTTAGGATTCCACGCTGTCACCACTGCCGCCTGGGTTCGATTACCCGCTCTGGAAACTTTCCTCTTAGTCGGTCACACACATGTCGCAAATGTTGACTTAGTATCTTTCGGGAAAATCATGATCGGATTTTGATAAAAAAAAAAATTATCGATAAAATTACGTTTATGTTAGGCTATTTTCTCTGTATTGGAAACTATTAACAATTAAAACTTTGAGAGATGTCCCTTCTTTATTTTAATTCAAAGGTAAGACCAGTAAATATTTGCTGTAACTCAAGCACATCAGACAGGTAAAGTGTACATTCAAGAGGAAAGGAGACTCGTCATCATGTCGGCACATCATTATGATGATATATATTCTTGACTTTTGCTACTTCCAATACTTCCAATTTATCTTATTTAAAAAAGTCAAATTCATGCTATTAATTTTCAATCAAGATTAATAATTTAAACTCTTCGAACTGTATTAGTTATTGTTAACCTCAAGCGCAGTTTAGCATTGTTACAAACATAAGTTGAGAATATAAGGAGTACAAACTTTAAACATTTTAGTCGTTGTTTGCCTCATACGATTTCGATCGCTAGATGTTTACTGTAAGATCACTAAATTTATTCTGCCGACTTTATTCGAATAGAACCCTTAGTGATAAATTTGGCCGTGAGTAATACGAGAATTGCAGACTGATTTCAAGGTGAACTGTGAATTCTAAATAATTTCAAAACGTCGAAAACAGAAATATCCTAGTCTAATTTGAAATGGAAAATATTTCGACTCAAGCCCATATGACAGCTCATACTATTCTGGTATATTTGTCATAATATTTCCTTAACACACTTGTTATAATATATGGAATGGATTTCTTGCCTCAATGCTCAAACCTTGAATAATCTACCACTAATTCTCCTTCTGCTTTATTGGTATATGTGTACTCATTACACTAGTTGCACTGAAAAATGTGTATTCCACTATCTAGTGTTTCCTAAATGAAAATGTTTACCCTCATACATTCAATATAGCCACCATAAAAACTGTTTTGGCAAGATATTGTGTCAAGATAGTATTGAAATTAAGATTTACGTATTTTTGAAATTTGAAATTGAAAATTTATGTCCAGAAACTGTTTGAATTGATTTTAAGATTTGATAAAGTTGTTATCTATTCAAACATGGGTTGTTCAATGTATCTAGAATGTCAGAATTACTTACTGCTGGCTGGGGAGTCGTTAAATTGTAATGAAAACCTTCTATAATTCCTCAGCAGATTTGCATTACTGTTTATAATACTGACACTCATAGGGGCTTGTATAGTTGCTTACAGTTTACATGTCATACATATACTATACAATAATTACAAAGGAGGAATCGTCTCCTTTCCTCGCGACCTATTTAAGATATTTCAAGCTATGTTTTGCGATGCTTTATAATTTTGGTACCCATAATTAGCTCAGGCATTCGACTGTGTATCACTATCCAAAGTTTGACTTAATATCATAGCTTTAAGAAACACCAGACCATTTTCTAATGCTACTGCTCGACATGACCATGATCTCCCTAGCTTAATATGCAGGTAAAACTCCGTTGAATAGAATACTTTCCTTTCATTGGTTCAAAAGAAAATGACCTACTGCATTTATTTATAACTTATATTCCGTTGGCCAATGAAAAGGCAGAATTTCATTCAGCGCGTTCTTCTTGCATATTAAGCAGGCGCGATCATGGCCATGTCAAGCAGTAGCGTGGAAAAATGGTATGGCGTTCCTTAAATGTATGATAGTAAGCCAAACTTCGGATATGCATACAAAGTCTAATGTTTGAGCTAAACAGCGGTAGCAAATTGATTACGCTACGAGAAATGTAGCTTGAAATATCAGCCTTTATTCTTAAATAGGTTGCACGAGAAAATAGAGAAGTGTCCTCCCTTATACAGCAAATGTATGACAGGTAAATTGCAACAACGATACGAGAGCCTCAAATGACAATGCCTCAGAGAGGATGACAGGCAATGGTTCAAAAGTCTAGTTAATAGCCAGGGTCCAACTGGCTTCCAAACTGCTTGAAGTTGTATGCTTCAGGTCACTACAGATACTGTGAATAATGTAGCTGAATGTTTTGCGAAACAAATTATGTGCAGCTTCTCATGACATTAAATCTTGATATGCATGTATCAACAAGATTCATTAACATCCCAAGTGGTCTATAGTGGCTAGGATTCCGCGCTCTCACCGCGGAGGCCATGGTTCGATTGCTTGGGAATCTTTTTGTATTATTCGATCTCACACAAGGTAATATCACGTTTTATTTAGTCAAGAATTTTAAAAACTTTGGACTTTCTGATCAAAGTTTCTTTTTCTCAGAGAAACGAGTTAAATCACAATCGAAATATATGACAAATTATTGCATATATTCTTGCCAAAATATAATGTAGGAAACACAGGAAGATATTTTCAATACTGAGATTGGTTTATTCAGTCCACCAAATTAATGTCATATTTATGATTTTACACACATTTTTTGTTCATTTTTATTCTGTGAAACTGTCAATAATTTTCAGCGTTTGCAAAGTTACGCAGCAACGGAAAAATATTTAACACTAATTAATTTCATATCAAACCAATATGAATAAACAATTGTTTTTCAGTGTATCAGCGTTCTTCTTTCAATTTAAGTCTTCTTGAAAAGTCATGTGAAAATATTGATTATTAAAAAGAAAATGATCATCGAATTTTATACATTTGAAAATGACGCAAATAACTAGTATGAAGGTCATGCTATCTTTGTTTCTTGATTTGAGGATTTATATCCAAACTCATTATCAAATGAACAATGAAGAGTATAAATTAAGTGTATATGATATCCATTGTTCAAATAATTGCTATATCACATTCTGGAACAAATATTACATTGTATGCGTTTCTTACGCTGCTTGTGGATTCCGGCTGCGTAAACTACAATCCCAATGTTGCATTCTTTACAGTCAATGTGTAAGTAAACTTTTCATTGTTTTAAAACGTGCTTTTGTTAGAATAAGGCTACATTTATTTCCATTTTCGTAGAAGTAATTTATGTTAAATTTTAACAGTATTTATACTGGACTAATTAAACCAAATCCATGCCAACATCCAGAAAGCTAACAACGATATCATATTTATTGTCGTCTCTATCTATATATATACTATATGTTAATATTACTACTCACTAAGTATAGGCGCTGGTCAATGGGCGAATCTTCTGGTAATTAGTAGCGTGAATGTTGATTATTTAAACTGCTCATTGTTTAGTAAGTGTAAATATTGCTTGGTTGGTTACTTGGTGCTGGACAGTCAAATTGGGTGTTGATTAGTAAGTGTAGATAATTGTCAGTCGATGTGGAGTTTGGACAGAAAATTGCGTGTTGGTTTATGAGAGTAGGTATTGGTAAGGATAAATGGGGTGCTGGTCAGTAAAATAGTGTGTGGTGTTTAAGACTTTATTTCCCGTAGTCACCACAGCACCACTTTTGTTGTCAAGAGCAAGACAACATCTAGGAACAAGTTAATCTGCACAGTGTAGCTCGCAGTACTACTTATGGACATTTAAGACACCTTGACATACAGTCTGTTTGATCTTTGGACAGACCATAGAGACTTCATTGATATTTATGTGCTAAATACAACTACTAATCTTAGAAGCTGTTATATTATATTTCTGAATATTAAAAATACACACGCTTTCTTTCCTTTCATTTTCTGAAATATATATATATATATATATATATATATATATATATATATATATATATATATATATATATATATATATATATATATATGTTTGTATGCATATAAGAATACATGTTTATTTTTGCATAAAAGAAAAAATACAGATATTGGGATAATTTTGTCCATGTAGACTGCAAAGCAAGTTATATATAGAGGCTTGGATTTTGGAAATTATGTATTAGAAATTGCTCCACTTGTTATTTATACAATACATGCTTTCGACATGCCTTATGTTTGCTTCCCGTCTGTACATGTAGATTTTATAAACTGATTGCTTATATATTTCATAATCCTGTCAGCGCATTAGAAGCACAATAGACCAATAGAGAAAAAATAACACGAACGTGTTGAGTATATGTCTTGAAAGTTGGTGAGGAGGAATGGTGTAACGAAGCCTTTTACTTACGTGATGAACAACAAAAAGGTGGATATGAGCAAAATTACCAGAATCCAATATTCATTTTAAGTCAACTCCGCACTCGGGAAACTTTCAAAGATGTTGTACAACAGGTCGCTACGGAATTCTTCCTTTTTCTTAGACTTCTCAGAAATGTTAAACATTACCATCAACTTTACTGAATAAAATATTTCCGTCTGCAATTTTTCTCTACATGTGAGCAAAAACGCAATACAAATATTTTATAGAATGTAGAAAATAGTAACAAAAAGAATTAAAGTCATAAAAACAAACCAATAGATGTTGAAATAGAGATTTATATTTTTATACCAAGGAGTAAATAATTTATATAGTGTGTCTCACACTACCGTTCAATATCATTCGATTCTCCTCAACTGATTTTGAAATTTCCATTGTTTCTGAGAGCCCGGTAAGTAAAGAACAACTTTCATGTATTTGAAAATAAAACAACATAGAGTCCGATTTTTTCTATTCAACAAAAATTCAATTGATTTCATAATAAAATGTGAAAATGGCTGAAGATTAAGAGAGAGCATAATATATTTATGATAGTATTAATTTTGTACGTGTATTTATTGTAACGTCACATTTTGAACATTTTAACGTAGTATAAATGACATATGACAAGATTTTGCACTAGTTTTGAACTCTTTGACCGTGGAGACTACATATCCTTGACACCTCTGTTTTGATGACTTGAGCACGTACTGTAACATTTTCCAAAAAATACTTCTTTCATAGTTTGATCTCTCATTTAGAAAGATTGGGTATTTTAGCAAGTATGGACTGGGTATTTAGTAAGGTATCGGTAACAAACGACAGTGGTACATTTCCCTATAATGTGCTTAGCGGGCACCATTTTGACGCACACCTATACGTCTATATCTTCCTGTGAAAATATTATAGACATGCTCCAAAGAAAATACTATATTTCACGGCAAGATCAATAACATTTCTTTAAAATATCTATGGCGTCAATCGCAACTATTAAATTTTAGGCTCTCTGAATACAAGCAATATTTAATCACTTGTATGGTATACTAAAATGCAGAAAACCATACAAGCATATGAAGTGGTAGATTATATGAAAATTATTTAAAATATATTGTAATATGTATTGTATGTATTTTTCAATATAAAGGTTTTTATAAGTTGTATCTTTAGAGTGTAGTTTATATATCAACAAAACTTGTCAGGTCCAGATCTGTTTGTATTTTACAGCGATCTTCGCTACCTCTCGTTGCCAGAGCTTTCCCCACAAAACGACGTAGTCGTATCTACACCATTATAAGTGACACCTTATCTTTAAGAGGGGCGAACTTTCTTCTCTCTTCCTCTTTGATCAAGATTCAAGGCATTTTTTAAAGTAGCGATAAAATTCCTTCTATGAGAAGAAGGTTACGTTAGAAAACAACAACTAAACAACAAACAGTTTTCTTACATTATATATATATATATATATATATATATATATATATATATATATATATATATATATATATATATATATATATATATATATATATATATCACAATAGCAAAGTGATAAATTTATAAAATTAAAAAAGATTACACACATAAATGAAACAACGAAAGTATCTGCATAGACTTTGTAATTATTTGTTTCAACACCAGACGCTTTCTTTAAAACCACCAATATGTGACGTCATGAGTTCAGAATTGACGAGACAGATCACAAGTTCACAATCATTTTTAATTTGTTTGAAATCAAAGTTTAATCTAAATCCCATTATAGGGTAGTATGATATACCATATGATTCGACCGTTGTTAACGATAGTGGTAGAGTTTAAATGCAGTCAATACTATCCATTACAAACATTTTAGTGGCATCATTATAATAGTCGTTTATATCAAACTTACAAATAACTTGAAGCTATGATACACTGATGTTTCGTTTATGTTATAGTTGAGAGAAAACATTGATTATTGTTTCTATTGCAATCTACAGAAAGAAAAATGGAGTGAAACTCATTTAGTCTGCCAGAGATTTCAGTGTCCTGCTCGAATTTGTAATCTTCACAATGTTAGTTACATTAAAAAAAATATGAATAATAAAACCTTCATGTAGGATAGCGCAGATCTGATCTTGATCAGATTGTTCTTACAACAGGAGGTAAGTAATATGAATTAGGTCAGCTCTACATCCGCTAGCCAACAACGAAAAGCAAAAATTACTCTACTAAACTTACGCATAAGGTGTTGATAATTAACCTTTAGATGTTGGTAATAACCTTTAGAATGATTTGGGCACGAAATGTTGCATTTTTGGAGCATAAAAACTAAACCTGATCATCGATGTACAAAATGAAAATTAATGAAAGTTGACAGAGTTCACCTACATTAATAAAATAAATATTTTTTAAGCGACTTATTCACATTTCTATCAAGTATTGATTGTACTTTAGTATCAAGAAGATTTTGGATGTTCTCATTTAAAAATAAAAGCCTCATTCATCGATTTAATTGGTACAATTTTGTTGCAGAACATGATCAATTAGGTTATACATATCTTACACCCATGGACTAGAAAGAAGCAATACCCTTCTGAAAGATAAAAAGCCACAAGAAATGGAAAGAAAATGCAATATCATCGTAGCAGTAGTAGTACCAATCATATAAATACTAGTAGCATTGCGGGACTAAATGAAAGGGTAATTGGCGTTGAATAGCAATCATATTAATACTAGTAGTATTGCGGTACTAAATGAAAGGGTAATTGGCGTTGAATAGCAATCATATTAATACTAGTAGTACTGTGGTACTAAATGAAAGGCTAATTGGCGCTGAATAGCAATCATATTAATACTAGTAGTATTGCGGTACTAAATGAAAGGTTAATTGGTGTTGAATAGCAATCATAGTAATACTAGTAGTATTGCGGTACTAAATGAAAGGCTAATTGTCGTTGAATAGCAATCATAATAATACTAGTAGTATTGCGGTACTAAGTGAAGGCTAATTGTCGTTGAATAGCAATCATAATAATACTAGTAGTATTGCGGTACTAAATGAAAGGCTAATTGGCGTTGAATAGCAATCGTAGTAATACTAGTAG